CCCTTAAAGTGTTTTCAAATAAAACTTTTGCTCCACTTCACTACTGTGTCTCTGTCCTTCAATTCTTTGTTGGAGTGGGGACATGGACTGAGGAGAACAAACCCAACCCCCTAAGACTCCTTAAACACTGAATATATGTATGATGAACAAAATATAAAAATAACTATAAAAATATGGAGACCAACCAAGCAAGAAACTAGAGGGAATTTAATCCTTGAAAAAAAGGGAAGTCTACCAAGTGAGTTCCACATTTAACAGGCATTTCTCCTGAGGCGCCTTCACCCGTCCCTGCAGCACATGAGGAAATAGAGCTCAGGCAGAAAGGGGCAGTTTGACTAGCTGAGAAAGGAGAGGATGGAGCACAGAAATAGCTGAGCAGCTGGAAACTGAGGGGTAAATCTGAGAAATGTGTGAGCTCAAAGAGGGGAACCCAGAATGTACATGCAGACACCTCTCTAGTCCTTGCTACCTTCTCAATGGCACATATACAGGATGACATTTCAGGGAACCTAGTGGAAAAGTCAAATATCTGAGCAGGGATTTTGGAAGCTGCTACAGTCTTAGGGAGACCAAGTTTGGGATTCAAGACAGATATAATTAGAAGGCCTTGGTAAACATCTTGGGCTTTTCATTGAAATCACAAAGGATCACATCCTAGGTGTAATTACAATGTCCCAAACCTAAGGGATACAGCCTAGGGTTACAAGCAGAACTGAAATACTTCTGTCCTAACTAGGCTTTGAGTTTTTCTGCCAAAAATGTAATTGTCTGCCAAAACAAACTTAACACTTTAAAGGAAGATAATATAACTCACAGTGTCAACCATACATCAACCCAAAATGTCCAGTATACAACAAAAAAATAGTTGGCAAGGAAGCAGGGAAATGTAAACCATAATCAAGAGAAAATTATCAAAAAAGCAGACCGATATGTGAGCCAGATGTTAATAGACAAGGAATGAAAATCAGCTGTTATAAGTATGTTAAATTTATAAGAAAATATAAACAATTGGGAAAACTCAGCAGAGAAATAGAAACTATACAAAAGAAAATTAAAATTCTATGAATTAAAAAAATCAAATGAAAAATTCATTGAATGAGTTTAGTACAAAACCGGATACAGCAGAAGAAAAGATCAAATTTACAGAAACTGTCCAAACAGAAGCACTGAGAGAAAAAGATTAAACAATAACACAACACAGAATCTAAGATTTGTAGGATAATAGCAGTAGTCTAACATATGTAATTGGAGTCTTAGAAGGAGAGACATGCTGGGTACAAAAAGTGGTTGAAGAGATAATGACTAAAATTTTTCCTGTATTAATGAACTACATCAACCCACAGATAAAGAAGCTGAGCAAACCCTATGCAAGATAAATACAAAAAGGTCACGTATAGGCACATCATAAGCAAGTTGCTGAAAAACAAAATAAAGAGAAAAATATTTAAGGTAGACAAAAAAAAAGATATTTCTTTCAGAGGGACAGTACTAAGGATGAAGGCTATCTTTTAGACCATAGAGGCCAGAAAGCAATAGAAAATCTTTAAATGCTAAAAGAAAAAAGGTAAGCCCAAAATTCTATACAAAACAGAGTGAAACATCTTTTTTAAGTGAAAGAGAAATGGAGTTATTTTTAAACAAACAAAATGTTTGAGAGGTCATTGTCAGCAGACCTACACAAGAAATGCCAAAGGAAGCTCTTCAAACTGAAAGAAAATCACCTGAGATAGAAACTGGAATCTGAAGGAATAAAGAGCATACACCAGAAATGGCAAATGTGTGAATAAATACAAAAGACTACTTTTTCTTAATGTTTTTAAAAGTCTACTGACTTATTAAAGCAAAACAAGTTTAAAAAGTATTGTATGGTTTACAAAATATGTAATAATAATACACAATAGGAGAGGCAAATGAGTTATATTGTTGTAAGGCTCATACATTTAAAGTGATATGGCATAATATTAACTTAAGGATGCTTAATGTAATTTCTAGAGCAGCCTCTTAAAATAATATAAAAGGGTATAGCTAAAAAGTCAGCAGATTAAAAAAAATGAATACTAAAAATTACTTGATTATTCCAAAAGAAAGGAGAAACAAAGTAAACAGATATGACAAATAAAAAACAAATAACAAGAAGGAAGAATATTAACACCACACATCAATAATTACATTAAATACAAATAACTAAACAGTCCAGTTAAAAGGCAGAGATTGTTGGTCTGGATTTTAAAAAACAGATTCAAACTATATCTTGTTTACAAGAGATATACAATAAATATAATGACAGATAACTTGAAAGTAAAATAACAGAAAAAATTATGCTATGAAAATGCTAACTAATAGAAAACTGTTGTGGTCACTTCAATACAAGAAAAAGTAGGCCTAAGATAAGCAGTATTACTAGAGATAAAGGATATTTCATAACAAAAAAGGGACAATTCTTCAAGAGGGCATAACAATTCTAAATGCTGATGTATCAGATAACAATTTCAAAAACCATAAGGTAAAACTGATAGAAGCTAAAGGAAAGAAAGACAATTGCATAAAAACATTTGGTTAAGATGGATAGGTAAAACAGATAAAAAAATCAGTACATAAATGAAAAAGTTAAACATCAATCAACATGACTTACTTGACGTTTATACATTAAAGCCAACAACTGCAGAACATGTATTTTTTTTACATGTACACAGAACATTCACCAAAACAGAGTATATACTGAGCCATGAAACAAAATCAGTAAGGTCAAAACAGCTGAAGTCATACAAAGCATGTGTTCAGACTATACTGAAATTAAAATACAAATAACAAAAAACCTAAAAAGTCCCCAATTGCAACATCCTTCTAAATTCATCGGTCTAAGAAGTCACAAGAAAATTTTTAAAATATTAACCATTTGAGAATTAATGAAAATACAAAAAAGTATACTCAGAAATGTATAGCTTTACATGCATTTATTGCAAAAAGAACACATTTAAATCAACTTCTAAGCTACCAATTCAAGAAGCTAGAAAAATAAAAGAAACCCAAAGAAAATAGAAGGAAATAATAATAAAAAATGGAAATCAATAAAATGGGCAAACAAAAAGAAACGCAATAAAACCAAAAGTCAGTCCTTTAAAAAGATCAATAAAATTTATAAATCTCCAGCTACACTGATAGAGGGAAAAAGAAGAAAAATACAAATTATCACAATTAGGAATTTAAAAGGTGAAATTCCTTCAAATCCTACAGTTATTAAAAGAATAATAGAGCAATATTATGACCATCTTTATGCTAAAAAATGTGATAGCTCCTATGTTACAAATTCCTTGGAAAATTGAAATTTCCAAAACAGACGTGGAAAGAAATAGAATGTCTGAAGAGCTAAAGAAATTGAAATTGTAATAAAACTTTCTCACAAAAAAAACTCCAGGCCCAAATATTTAGGGAATAATATTAGTTATATACAAATCCTTGTAAAACATAGCAAAAGAGGGAATGCTTTCTGACTGATTTTATGAAGCCAGCATAACCACACCTAAAGAAAACACAGGAAAAAACTCTTTATAAGTTTGGGATAAGAAAACATTTCTAAGAACTCAGAAAGAATTAGCCATAAAAAGATAAAATTAATACATTGGACTTGCTCAAATTTAAAATATTTTGTTCTTCAAACGACACTGTTAAGATTAAAATGAAAATGAAATGCTCACAGTTGGAGAAAATATTCATAAATCATTTATCTGATAAAGGAGTTATATCCAGAATAAGTAGAGAATTACATAAATCAGGGAATTATAAATATTTTAGATATTTGTTTCCAATTGCTGCTGTAACCAATCACCTCAATGGAAGTCAGAAGTCTAAAATCAAGATGTCAACAGAGCTGTATTCCTTCTGGAGAATACATTTCCTTGCCTTTCTCAGCTTCTAGAAGTTGTTTGCATTCCTTAGCTTGTGGACCCTTCCTTGTATCAGTCCAACATCTTGCTTCTGATGTACCATCTTACAGCTGACTCTGCCCTGCCTGCTTCTCTCTTATAAAGAACCTTATGATTATAACCTTGGGCACACCTGTAAAATCCAAGCTACTTTCCTCATCTGAGGCTAATCACCTTCTGAGTTTGATCACACCTGCAAAGACCCTTTAACTGTAAGGTAACATATTCACAGATTCAGATGTGGACATCCTTAGGTGCCATTAGCCTACCACAGATGTCCTAATGGTATGTGGTTTTTAAAGAAATTATCATTAATTCTAAGAGATGCATATTGAATTATTTAAGAGTGAGATGTCATGTCTCTAAATTACTTTAAAATATTTCATCAAGAGAAAGAAGCAATTATGGCAAAATCTTAATGATTATTAAATCTCTTAAGGGTGGTAGGCTTATGAATGTCCACTAGATTTTTCTTTTTTCTTTTTCTTCGACATTTGAAAATTTTCATTTTTTTAAGCTTAATGAAAAACTACTGAAATGCCAGTGTAGGATTTAGAAAGCTCACACCTAGCCTATAACTAAACAAGAATGGACGCAAGAGATGAGTAAGTTAGCTAGTTACTTACTGCAGTCACTCTATTGAAGAGTAGAGTGGTCTGAACCAGGGCAATAGCAGTGAATGTGGAGAGAAATGGGTAGATGTGCAATGTATTTTGCAGGTCGAACCCACCCATGCATGTTGAAGGTTTTTAAGAGAGAGGGTAAAAAGAGCATCAAGGATTATAGAAATAGGCTAAATACACTGAGTGTTTATTGTTCAGTCGCTGTTCATATTTCCTTACAACAAATTTATGAGGTGGGTATAGTTCGCACCCACATGTTACACGCAACCATTTTTCTAACTTCGAAACTGGGAGTAGAAACGGTAGTCCCGGGGACCAGGTTTACTTAGAAAAGGAGCTGGCGCCTTGCTGTGGAGTGGGGTGGCTGTCGGGGCCATAGGAGGAAGGAGGAGTTGGGTAAGAGTCCAGAGGGGCAGGGCCCGCTGGCGATTGGCCGTGCTGCCAAGGGAGGGTTGTGCAGATCCAGCCTTGCCAGCTGGTGCGACAGCGCCGCTCAGCCTCTCCGGCGGCTGTCTGTTACCTTCTCTGCGATTCAGGTGCGGAGCGAGCCCGTCCAGCCCGGGAGGATGCAGCGCCCGCTGTGGTCTGGGGTCCCCGGGGCGTTCCGGCTGCTCCTCTGCTTCCTGCTGCTGAACAGCCGCCCAGGGGGCTGCAGCGACATTAGTGGCCACGGTCAGGAGGAAACCTGGGGGGTGCGCGCAGGGCCACAGAGCAATCCTGAGAGAAACGGGTTACGGGGCTTCAAGATTCGGACTTGAGGAGGGAAAGAATGTATTTGGGAGCTCTTAAGGAGATATATGTAGAGAGCACCTCGTAGAAAGAGGCACAGGCGTGGCCTGGGGCTCCGCATATGGGATCTGGACCTAAGAGAAGCTGACTCAGGGGAAGATGTGGATTTGGGGGGAGGATGGGGAAACAAATGGGCAGAGGGAAGGGAAACCGGCCTGTGTGGCCGCGGGAGAAGCGAGGCAAGCCGAGAGGCCGAGGAAGAGGAGCCCAGGGCTGAAGGATAGGCAGGAACCAGGGTCTCGGGACAGTAGGATCAGGCACTGAGGGAATCGAGGTCTTGGCTCCTGAGGAAAGGCTGGGCGGAGATAAGAGCCAGGGCTTCCGCAGAAGCCTTCAGAACCTAGTGTCCGCGGTCTCATTTCCGATAAGACGGGGAAGTCCAGGCTGCGGTAACAGAAGATGGAGGGGCAAAGGAGGCCACCCTTCTTCCTCCCGCTCCGCTCTGAGGGGTGCAGGTGGACCCGCGCTGACTCACATCTGAGCAGCTAAAGGCCTACTGCGCAGACTCGAGGATTCCACGGGGGTGCGGAAGAAGCGCAAACTCCTAGTCTGATGCCAACTCTCCCCGCCAGGCTCTTGGGTTTAGAGGCCAGTGACTCCCGAAGAACTGTGGGAGGAGGCTGGGTGGCAGAAAACAAGAGGGGGAAGGAGGAGGACTGTCAAACCTTGCGGGGAGACCTAGCCCTCTTTATCACCCGGAGCCGCCCCAGTACCAGGCTTCATCCACTTCTCAGCACCACGGGCAGAGCACCACAGGCGCCCTGTGGGTCGGGCCGAAGGTGTCCAGGTCACCACGTTTCCAATCAGTCTTTGGAGAGCTATCTGAAAGAACCATCTCTCCTTCTAGAAGCTCATTTCCTTCTCAACAGGTTGCTGGAGGTTCTGTTCCTTCCAAAGCCAGGAAATCGATATTAGGATCCATTTAATTTGGAAGGAGAATTCCCTTTTTTTAATGCTTATCCATAATGCCTCATGGTAATTCCACTACAGAAAAAAAAAAACAACTTTCCTCCAACCTTGCTACTTTATCTACCTAGAATGAGGTAGGTGTGTATAGCCCTGGGATTATCCTCTGCCATCCCCTCTCCTTCCCCTATGCACTGTGGGAAAACTGTGGCTTTCAATACAAGGATCCAGACACTCAAACCCTATACATACCAACCTTCTTTGTCTAAAGATTCCAGGCTTCAGAACCTTCCCTGGGATGCAGTTCATCTGCTTCCCAAGCCCCACCTGTTTACCTGATTATCCATTCCATGTGTGTAGCTTTTTGAGTCTCTGCTTACCTCCATCTCTACAGGCTGCTCTTTGCCTAGCTTGGTTCTTACCTAGAAGTTGGTACCAAAGGTGAATGGGGTGCAGGTACTGAAGAACAGGAAAGGTGGGGATGGAGGAAGGGAAAAATGGAAAGAAGGAGGACTTGAAAGGAAGTGGGGTGGGGGTCTGGTGAGAGGGACAGAGACCAGGGGACCTAGAGGTGAGAGTGGAAGGAAACTGCTTTTCTTCAACTGGGATTTGGAAGGCTTCTGGCCAAGCTCCTTCCTGCTGCCACTATTTTGCCCTTAGATGGTCAGGGCCAAGTGGGAATGGGGCAGATCTGGCCTCTGCAAGGATTTACCATGCCAGTGTTCCAGCACTTGCAAGTTATACTCCAGCAGATTGTGCCACAAGGTGAGTAAGAGCTGGAGAAGAGAGGCTGGGGCCTGGTCAGATATGGGGGGATAGTGAAGGGCTCTTTGACCTGAGGAGGCTTTCTTTCCCAAGTGACTCTACTTGAAACTTCCCAGTCATGCTCATTTCATGGAGCAGGGATGAGACCAGAGTTGGAGTGGAGTTGGATGGGTGGGCTGTTTGCCCTTGAACACCCTAGAAGAACCTAGCAGAGTCTTCGAGAAAAAGCCCCTGAATAAGAGCTTGGCATCCAATTCCTTCATGCTAGTCCTGACCCCTGGCACTATCTGAGTTTCTCCAGAGCCAGGAATCCTTCAATTCTCAGCCAGGAAAATGAACACACACATCCTTCAGCTTCTGAGTAGGAAGCAGAGCAAACTGTATGACAAAGGAGAGGAATGAAAGGAAGTATAGAGTCCTCTAGAGAGAGATGGCTCACCCTTCCTTAGAGCAGAGTGTCGTGAATAGGGGAAGGGTCATACAGGAAATATGCCTTGTGTCCATATTGCTACTACTACTACTACTGATGTCTAATATGGGCATAATGTCTTAGAGCAGTGGTTCTCAAAGTGTATCCCAAGACCAGCAACATTGGCATCCCCAGGGAACTCATTAGAAATGCTAATTCTTGACCTTCACCCCAGACCTATTGAGTTAGAAACTCTAGGGTGGGGAACAGTAGTCTTTTGTTGTTGTTTTTTAATTTTTAATTTTATTATTGCAATAAAGTTGATATGCAATATTCAATATTATGTTGATTTCAGATGTGCAATATAGTGACTGGATAATTGTACACATTACTAGATGTTTGCCACCATCAGTGTAGCTACCAATTATCATACCAAGATGTTACAATAGTACTGGTTAAGTTCTCTATGTTGTACTTCCATTCCTATGTCTAACTTATTTTACAATTTGTAGTCTGTACCTCTTTATCCTCTTCACCTATTTCACCACCCCCTTCCCTATGGTAACTGACAGCTTGTTGTCTGTATTTATGGGTCTGTTTGTTTTTTGTTTGTTTTTTAGGTTCCACATGTAAGTGAAATCATATGGTATTTGTCTTTACCTGGTTTATTTCCCTTAGCATGATACCCTCTGGATCCATCCATGTTGTCACAAATAGCAAGACTTCCTTCTTTTTTATGGCTGAGTAATATTCCATTGCGTATATGTACCTCATCTTCTTTATTCATTCATCTATTAGTGGGCACTTGGGTTGTTTTCATATCTTTGCTCTTGTAAATAATGCTACAATGAACATAGGTGTACTGATCTGTGTTTTAACAAGCCTTGCAGGAGATTTAGTATGCATACTAAAGTTTGGGAATCATTAGCAGAGTTTTCTAAGCACTCTTTCTATGCCTAATCTCATTTAATCCTAACAATATCATCAAATGAATCAGCAAAGAAAATCTAATCCTAATCCTAATTGAATATTTTATGATAAGAAACTTTTATATGCCATCTCATTTAATTCTCTCCACAAATGGTGATCCTTTATTTAACTGAGGAAGAGGGGAAATACTGATCTCACTCTGGTCCCTGGAGTGGGCCAGAGTTTCCCAGGTATCTGTTTGCTGCATCCTTTCACCCTGCAGGTTTGTTCTGGAAGGATGACATGCCCCAAGATGTGATGGCCCTGAAGATGGAGCACATCAGCAGACTCCATCCCCAAGATCCATGTCTGAGGGATGGGCAGGGTGCCTTTCCCACCAAACCCACCAGGGTGAGGTGTGTGAGGCCTATGGTCAGTTCATGCCCGGGTGGACAGACAGAGCAGGGAGGTATTAAAACTACAGTTAAGAGCTGCCAAGAGTGCTGAAGATGACTTGGAGGTCTGTCTGGGATCCACAGGAAGTAACTCAATGAGCCATTAGTGATATCTACGAAGGGAGAGGAGGGGGGTTTTAGCAAGCCAGGTTTCATTTGTCATCCCTGTTTCTTACAGCGGCAAGCAAGAGGGGAAACTTCAGCTCCTATTTCCCAAGGTGAGACTCATGTGTCTACTCAAGAATCTTAAATCTCCGACTTTGGGCCCCATCTTTTTCCCTCTGGGGACCTGTCACCCTTTTCTGCCTCCTTCTTGACTCCTGGTTTCCCTCCCCACAGAGCCCAGTGGTCAGGGTGAACAGGGATCAGTGCTCTACCTCCAGAGTGGATTTGAAGGCCCTGAAGCAAGTGGTGGTCAACCCTGTCAAGGTGAGGGGCTCGCTTTCTCTCAGGAGGGTGGAGCCACCAAGGACCTGTTTCAATGAAGGAGGCAGGTGTGAAGAAGGGAATGAGTATTGAGGTGCAAACTGATAAGCTGAAGAAAGTTCTTTTGTTTCCCAGTTGAAGGGTACTTTCCTTTCTCTCTCACAGACTATCCATATGAAAGGCTGGGAGAGCAGGTGTTGGCCTTTAAGGACAAAATGATCTGTAGGATCATGCATAGACATTGAGTGTGAAATAGGCATCGAAAACTGCAGTTTTCAAAATTAAATAAAAAGTTTCTCCATATACTCTCATCATAGCAGGTGATAGCAGCACTCCTGTGGATTAATGGGGGGTGGGGCGCAGCCCAGAGGCCTTCACATTCAGCATCCCCCTACCCCCCACCGGTGCCTTGTTCAACTCTGTGGCCTGGGAAAGTCACCTGGGCAAGGCTCTGAGTTGTCTCCTTAGGATGCTTGAACTCTTCAGAATCCAGATTGAAAACACCCATCTAGCGGTACTATCTATCTTTATAGATGAGATATTGAGGCCCAGGCTGGTCAAGGGACTTACTCAAGGCTGCACAGCAGGTTCATGGCAGGGCAAAGGCTGGAACCCAGGTCTCCTGATTCCTAGCCCTTCCCCCTGCACAGCCCCTGCTCTGCTTCTCAGGAAGTTGGGCTGCCCCAAACATCAGACTCCTCCACATTGACAGAAGTCTTTTTTTGGACTAAGACCTAAATTATGAGAAGATGGCAGCCAGAGGAAGGTATAAAGGAAGGGCTTCCCAGCCAGAGAGCACTGAAACAATGCTCTGAAACAAGGATGCCGTGGCACATTAGAGGAACAGATGATAAAGTTAGTGGTAGAAGGTAAGGTTGGAGATGTAAGCCCAGGACTGACCATACAGGGGCTCACAGATCACAGTAAAAAGTTTGGATTTTATTCTAAGTGTAGTGCCAAGTTAACAGGGAAATTTAAGGAATAGGATGTCATAATGTGATACACAATTTTAAAAGGTCACTCTAGTGATGTTGGGGAATGGCCTCTTAGGAGCCAATCACCCTCATCCAGGAGAGGCTGAGGTGGCTTGGACTGGGATGATGGCTGTGGAGCTAGCATCCCCAGCTGCTGTGCACCCCATCCAGAGGCAGCCTACACTTCAAGGAGCTTCCAGCGCCTCATGAGCTTCCCGGAAACCAGTTTTCACTCCCGCAAGGAGCCAGCTGGGCTTCCTGAGCCTGGATTGGTTGCTGGGTCAACGCACTCAGAGCTAAGTGACAGACCCACCTGTGAGAGACTGGTTGCCATGGTGTTCTGGGGAATGCAAACAAGGTGCAGCCATTCTTTCCAGCCCTGAACCCAAGGGAAAATTACCAGAAAGAGGGTGAAATATATGTGGGAGCTAAGGGGACAGGCAGTCAATGGATGGGCTGAGTCATTGTGGGCTTACTCAAATCAGGCTGTTATTGAAGCAGCTGGGGAAGGACAGTAGGTGAGGGAGGGGCGACCTCCCCACATACTGACTCCAATCTTTTTTTCTTCTTGTTTTAGGGCTTCTCTGAATCGTGCCCCACTGTGGGCCACAACCTTGTTGCTGATTGAACCCACATGTGAAGCCTCTCTACCCTGATGCTCTCCTCATTGTCCCCAGAGGGGCAGTTCTAGGATGCCCTGATTAAAGTGGACTGTCATGCAGACGCTTTCTGTGACTTGTCTTGAGGCAGGATGGGTGGGGTTTGGATCTGGACCTTGCCAGAGCCTCCAAAGTGAGAGAGGTGGGACCAGAACAGTCAGTGGGGGTGAGGAGAGTAGAGTTAGAGTCCTCAATACAGTCGGAAGGTTGGTTTCTGCCTTGTTTTCCTTCCAGTGACCATTCCTGAAGTGTGGAAAATGTGGTGGGACCACAGCTGGAATGACAGCCTTCCCCACCTGCACCCAGCTGTGTCATGTGGCCCAGTTGCCCACCCTTCCATAGCAACAGACCTGACCCCTCCTGTTTTATGAGGGTCTCTACCTCCAGCATTACAGCCCCTGCTAGGACTCTCCCACTCATCCTGCTCATCCCCAGAATCAACAGAGAAGTGTCATGATCAAAGTATACACACATTAAATATTTTGAAGGTTCTTGCCAGTTTGCTCCTGATAGCTTAAAATATTAAAAGTGAATGGGTAATTTGACCACCAATGCACAGCCTGACTAGACACTGGAATATCCTATCTGCAGAGTTTTATTCCTCTCAAAGTACTCTCACACTCACTGGGAAATCACAGGTGCAAGCAAATGGGCAGGTATCAGGATCTGGTTTGTATACTTTACTGGATATAAGTTATATTTCATTAATTAAAACTATGAAACTCTCAAAATTAAAATGTAAAAGGTGAATAAGAGAAAAGATGTTCTTGAAAAGAAGTTGAGATGATTTGCTCTACCTGGTATTAAGACTTATTAGTATGAAGTATAGTAATTCAGAAAGTGTGGTATTGATGCAAAGACAGTCAGGTAGATCTATGGAACACAGAGCTCAGAAATAGGCCCACAACAATGTGGACACTTCATTTATAATAAAGGACGTTAGAAGAGCACAGCTCCTCAGAGAGGAGAGGGTAATCTTTCAAAACAGTTCAGGAAAAACTGGGTATCCTTGTAGAAGAAAAATATACCTTTATCCATAACTTAAACACACAAATAGAATCCAGGTGGATCATAGGCCAATAAGAAGAATTAGATGATGATGAAACTTATTCCTTAGCTTAAAGCCATTTGGTGATGCTGAAATGCTATTCTACAAGATTTTGCAGATGAAGGATTTACAAGATAGTATAAAAATAACTTCATATCCTAAAGGTTGGAAAAGATTTCTTACAAAGGTAACAAAAATCCTAAAAATAAAGGAAATGATAGTATATTTGATACATTAAATTGAAAATATCTATCAACTCTAACAGCTGATGACAGTTTGGGGACGTACAGTTGTCTCTGCCATGTGAATGCAAACTTCTTCCAGCTGTCTTTCCTTATAAGAATGAGAAAAAAAGGAAGTTTCTAAGTCAGTGTTGTCCAGTAAACATACAATTTATATATGTAACTTAAAATTTTCTAGTATTCACATTTTTTTAAGTTTAAAAAAAAGCAGGGCAGGAATGGATGGACATAAATTTTGTGTCTATGCTAATTTAAAGTGAATAAAGACAAATAACCAAGCATAATGTGGTCCTATTTTGGAAAAAAAAAACGCTGAAGAGGGGCATATCTGAAACAGTATGAGAAATTTGAATATGAGCTGAGCACTAAGTGATATTAGGGATACACATTGAATATATAAATTATATATATGATATATACATTTTATTATATATACATTTTGTTAGATGTCATACTGGCATTTGGGTTCTGTGGGAAAATATCCTTATTTCTTGGAGATGTATACTGAAATATTTATAAGGGGAAATATGTCTATCATTTACTTTTAAATATTAAAAAAGAAGCAAATATCTCAAAAAATCAATATCTTAAGGTTAGATAATGAGTGTATTTACTATGCACTGCTATCCTTTTTGTATTTTAGAAAATTTATATTGAAAAGCAAGACAGTAAAGTGATCAAATTTGAACTTTAGAAAGCTCACTCCCTAGCTTATGAGTGACAGGAAGGGAAGCAAAAGACTAGTTAGATGATTACTGCAATAATATTCGTCATGAAGAATGCAGTGTTTTAGATAGAGCAGTGAGTATGGAGAGAAGTAGACTGATGGGAGATATGCCTTGCAGGTGGAAACCTAAGACTCTTACTAGGTTTGTGGTGGGAGAGGGTGAAAGACAGGAGAGTCAAGGCTAATAACAAAAGCAAATATGTATCCAATGGTTAATATATGCCAAGGCTGCGTTGTTCCAAGTGATCCACAAGTTTAACTCATGTAATCCTCACAACCACCTTGTGAGGCAGGTATTATTAGCATCTCTATTTCACAGATTAGGAAACTGAGCGCAGAAAGGTTAAGCAACTTTGTAAGTTGTAAAGGAAACCTGACTTGGTCTCTTCAACGACAAAAATGGGGTAGGGTGGGGGAAGTAGTGTCTATACTAATTTAAAGAGAATGAAGAAGCATAACCGAAGGCAATGTGCTCTTTGATTGACCCCTATTTTGAATTCACACACACACAAGCTGAAAAAGGGTATGTTTGGAAACAATATGAGAAACTTGAATATGAGCTGATCATTAAATGATGTTAGAGAATTAGATGTCATGCCCCTAACATGCACCCCCATTCCTCCTCCCAAACCCCCAATCTTCCCGTAAGCCCGCTTCTCTTAGGTCCCTCCCCCGAATTCCCAGCTTTTGCAAAGTTACACCCCTGGTAGGTGGCATTGCTAGAATTGGACTCCAGGTGCGCACACGCATAACCATTCCTGCTCTTAAGGACGACTCCAGGACCATTAACTGGGATGCGTGGGTACCTATTCTACTCACTTTTATGCTCCCCATTTTAGGGTTTATACTATCTACTCACGCTTCTTTCCTCGCCTGAACCCAACTGTAACCCTTTTCGCCAACCCTGGGACTGGGTGATGGATGTGGTAGTCCTTGGGGAGAAGCATATGTCACAAGGGGTGGGGCCAGGTGGGAATTCTAGTGACGCGTCTACTATTTGGTGGAGGAGGGCTAGGGTGGGTAGGTCTCCCGCTAAGATAGTGCTCTTACGACAGGTATGACGCAAATAAGCCTAAGGGCAGGGGGTGGAGATGTCGTCACCACCCGCCGCGAGTTGGCCGAGTTGCAGCTAGAGGGGCGTATAGACCCCGCCTCGTAGGTGGGTGGGGAGTAGCAGGCCCCGCCTTGGCCCCTCTCGGCTAGCCCCGGCCAGCACCGCTGCGGCTCTGGCAGGGCAGCGAGCGCGCGGAGCCGGGAAGGATGCGGCGCCCGCGGCGGCCTGGGGGTCCCGGGGGATCCGGGGGTCTCCGGGTGCTCCTCTGCCTCCTGCTGCTGAGCAGCCGGCCGGGAGGCTGCAGCGCCATTAGTGCCCACGGTCAGGAGGAAATAGGGGTTGGGGCGGGGGCGAAGAGCGAAACTCGGGGCGGGGGGAGTCTCAGGAAGGTAGGAAGCTCAGGTAGAATATGCGTGTGGAGTAGGGTAGGGGGCTGCACTGTGAGATGAAGATGAGAAGGCGTCTGAGAGGAAAGGGGCGTAGGCCTGGAGGTGGGGCTGGGAATACGGGGGCGGGACCTAGGAGAAGCAGGCTCAGGGGAAGATTGCGGGTTTGGGAGGAGGGATGGGGGAGCTTATGGACAGAGGGACTTTGAGACTAGCTACAAGCCCGTGAGAGAAGTAAGTCGCCCCGAGGCTCTGAAGAAGTGATGACTGGTCTGAGAGATGGCCGGGGGGTGGGGGTGGCGGTAGGAGGATGACGAGGGAACCCCGATCTTTGAGCAGTAAGAGTTGGGGACGCGTGCATCGGGATCCCGGCTCCTCGTAGAGGATCAGGCCGAGGAAGGGGCCAGGGTTTCTCTTTACATCTAGAGACACTGACTGCTGGGGTCTGATCTCCAATAAGAGGGGGAGCTGAGGGAGGGGAAGAAGAGAGACAAGAGGGAGGGGTCTTCTCTAGTCCCCCTCCTCACAGCCAGGCCCGGTGCTGACTCACTTCCGAGCGGACAGAGACTGTCAACGCTGACTCATGGGCCGGGGGAGGGTGGGGGAGCGCGTGGGGGAAGGGGCTCAGCCTAGCTGTCTGGCGCCCTCCTTCCCCACCGGGCTTGGAGACTGATGCAGGGTACTTCCTGTGGCGCTATAGGTTGGTAGGGTGGTAGCCAAAGTCTGGAAGGGCGGAGGGGTTACGTCTTGTGGCTGCTCCTGGCCCTGGCACCCCTCCCTCCCCTATTAACTGCTTCCAGGAGACGCCTCAGCGGTGCCAGGCTCAGGGCTTCAGCACCGCGGACAGCGCCAGTGGCACGGGGCCAACGACTGTAGGGACAGAGAGGGGAGCAGTGCCTTAGAGACACCCTACCATTATCCCTTTCCCACACGGAGGAGAGATGTGCTAGGGTTTCCATCTCTCTGTAGCCCCAGGCCATCAAAGTTGGGAGGCTTTTGGAGGTTTGGGAAGGAAAGTCCCTTTTATCTCAGAATTTGGCCAGAAACTCCCCCAAAGTAATTGTATGGGGGCAGAAGTATATAATTGTCCACTGTCACCGCCATTGTGTACCTCGAGGGCTTCTTCTCCCCAGACTCAAACAAACTGAGCCTTTTAGGGAAAGTATCCAGACATGCACGCAGATCCTTAAAATCCAAAGCCAGATCCTATGCTTCCTTCTCTTAAGAATTCTAGGCCTCTCCTCTACTTTCCTCCCAGCTTAAAGCCTTCCTTAGAATGAACAATGGACCCAGCTGCTTCCCCCTCTCCCCACCTGTCCATCCATCTGACCATTCTGTATGTGTGGGTGTCTGAGCCTCTGCTCACCTGTCCCTCTACAGGCTGCCTGTTTGACCGCAGACTGTGCTCTCACCTTGAAGTCTGTATTCAGGGTGAGTAAGGCCCAGGCTAGGATTTACAATACAGGGGACACAATAAGAAAGAAGTATGGGGGAGGCCTGGGAAGAAGAAGAGATAGTGGGCTTGGAGAGAAAGGTACTGGCCTGGAGGAACAGAGCTCTCTAAGGCCAAGAGAAAAAAATGGAGAGAGTGTTGCCCATTTGCAGCCTAGACTTTGGAAAGCGTCTTGTCCAAGCCCTGCTGACATCACTTTTGTGCTCTTAGATGGCTTGTTTGGACAGTGCCAAGTGGGAGTGGGGCAGGCCCGGCCCCTTTTGCAAGTCACTTCCCCAGTTCTTCAACGCTTACAAAGTGTGCTCCGACAGCTCATGTCCCAAGGTGAGATCTAAGTGCACTGGAGAAGAGAATTTGAAACTTGGTTAGATAAGGATGGGGAAATGAGAGTCACCTGACTCAAGGATTTCTCCTCATAAAACATTCTTATCACAGCCACATCTGGAGCTCCACCTTCCCAGACCTTGCTGGAGAAGGGGGCAAGACAGGAGTAGGGGTGGAACCCTAGAGATAGGCTGTTCATACTTGGACTCTCTGGAGGAATCTAGAGGAGGCTTCTAAAAGAAGCCACTGAAAGAGCCACCATCCATCTCTGTAGGAGCATCCCACTCCTTGGAACTGTCTGAGTGCTCCAAAACCATGATCCTGGAGTCCTCAGCTAGGAGGACACCCTATTCATCCAATTCACTCATTCAACAAATGGTTATTGAGTACTTACTATGTGGCAAGCATAAATTTAGGTGCTTAGGATGTATCAGGACTAAAACAGATAAAGATCTCTGCCTATTGGGGCTTATATTTGGGAGATGAAGGGAGAGAAGAGACTATATAAATTAGAAAATATATAGTATGTTAGAAGGTGATAAATGCCATGGAAGAAAATTTATTACAACAGGATAAAGGGAGCAGAGATGATGAGGTAGGAAGCTGCAGTATTAAACTGAGTGGTCAAGATAGACTTCATTGAGACCATGAAATTTGAACAAAGACATCAAGGAGGTAGGAGTGTTTTCCAGACCAAAGAGAACAGAAGCCCTGTAGTAGGAATATGAGTTTTCTCATATTTCTACCATGAGACACCGTGGAGAACACCTTTACAGTGTAGCTGTAGAGGGGTGATGGAAAGGTAGAATAGAAGATGCAGTCAGGTGTGTACTGGGGGAAAGGATGCAGCATTTTGCTTGCTCCTATGTTGGGAATGTATACTGTAGCGTGTAAAGGGTAGAAGCAGGGAGAACATTAAAAGCTACCACAATAATTCATGTACGAGATAGCATGGACCAGGGTGGTTGCAGGGAGGTAGAGAGGAATGACAGGATTCTGCATATATTTTTAAGGTAGTAAGCATTATTTCATGCAATATTGGATATGGCTATGAAAGAAAGAGAAGAGTCAGGATGATACCCAGGTTTTATTGTCTTTATTGTCTGAACAACTGGGTTGATGGAGATGTCATTAAATATGCAGAAGTATCAACTTGGGAGAGGGATGTTAGTTTTGAATATATTGAGTTTAAGATGTCTGTTCAGGTAGAGTGGGAAATTGAGTATATGAGATCAGACTTTTTAGAAAGAGAGAGAATGAGGACTGGAGTGGAGATATCAATTTGGAATTCTATGGTATACAGATGCTAATTAAACTCACGTGGTAGATGAGATAACCAAAGGATTGAGCATATTTTAGGAAGAGCCCTACAGAATTCTGATATTTTAGAGGACCAGAGGAAGGAGCAGAATCAACATGGGAGACTGAGAAGGGGCAGCCAGTGAGGTAGGAGGAAAAACAAGAGTATTTAGTGTCCTAGAAGCCAAGTGAAAATGTGTCACAGAGGAAAGAGGGGTTAACAGTGCCAAATGATGACGGTAGGTTAAGTAAGATAAGTCTGAGAATGGACTATTGGATTTAGATTTGATTAAGTCGCTGGTGATCTTGATGAAAGCTGTTTTGATAGAATAGCTGGGAATAAAATCCTGAATAGATGGATTAGGATTGAAAAGAGGGAATGGGAGGAAAGGAATTGGATACAGCCAGTATAGATAAGGAGTCTTTCTGCAAAGAAAAGCAAAGAAGTGGGGTGATAGCTGGAGGAGAATGTGAGGTCAAGAAGTGTTTTTTTAAGATGGAAGTAATTGCATCATGTTTGTATGCTAATGGGAATAATTCACTGAACAGGGGAAAATAGAGGAGGAAAACAGGGAAGAAAATAGAGAAGATGTTCTAAAGTAGGTAGCAGGGGATGAAATCTAATGCTCAAGTTGGGGGATGGAACTTAAATAGGAACACAGATAGTTCATCGGTGTTGATAGGCAATAAGGCAAGTATGGATGCTAGTAGATGCCAGAATATGAGTTAAGAGAAGCACAGACTATTAATCTAGAAGTGAGGAAGAAGGAATTGGGGTGGTGAATAGGAGATTATTCTTTAGAATAGGTGACTGACCTTTCCTGAAGAGCAGTTTCACAGGGAAATGTGTCAAACAGGAGGTCTGCCTCAGGATAAGGTGATGATGATGGTGATGAATGTTTAAAATGTGTATAGTGCTCTAGAATTTTCTAAGTACTTTCATTTCCCCAGCTGAACTTGATCTCCACTACAGCCCCATGAAATATGTATTATTCCCACTTGATAAAGAAAACTAAGGTTCAGCACCAACTATAAGAATAGGAATAATACTGATGATAATAATAATTATAATAATAATAATATGATAATAATAATAGCAGCTATTTAAAGTTCACTATACAACAGGTACTATTTGAACCACTTTATACTGTGTTATTTTAATTATCACAGCAATCTTAGGGGGTATAAACCCCCATTTTACAGATGAGAGAGTTGAGTCCCATGCAGGGTCAGCAATTTGCTGAAAGTCAAATTAGTAAATGGCAGAAGATTCAAAACTAGTGTGAATGGAAGCAGTCTGACTCCAAAATCTGTACCTGCAAGTTGGGAACTGGACAGCTCAGATCACTCACCATGTCTCAGGACGCCTTCCACTGCCCTCTGCTCTACCAAACTCAATACACTGCAGTGGGGGGGAGTGAAGTTTTGGTCTCCACTGGTCCCTGTTACTGTGCCCTCAGACTATGAGCCAACCTCACCATGTCCTGTTCCCTGGCAGGATTGTCCTGGCATGATGACCTCACTCAGTATGTGATCTCCCAGGAGATGGAGCGCATTCCCAGGCTTCGCCCCCTAGAGCCCCGCCCAAGGGACAGGTAGGCATCCTTTCTCAACAACTCTAACATGGTAAGGGTGGTGGGTCTGTGGTCTGCCTGCTGGTCAGAGGGAAGGGGAGGAAAATGGGCACCAAGGCCAGCAGGCTGAGGCACAGATAAAAGAGGTTCAGGAGTGGTCATCTGACACATTCACACGCCGTAGCAGCTGAGTTCATTCCTGGGGATCCAGCAAAACAGGGACACATTTTTAATGTTTTGAAAAAACTGGGCATTTTATACTTTAAAAGAAGCATCAAAGTAATCATCATGGGGCAGATTAGAATTTTGTTGGACTAAAGTTTTTTAATGTTCAGTTCATTTCTATATGGGATTGTGAATATACCATCATCTTTTTATGATTAAGGTTTTTGATGGCATTGTTCAAACTCTGTAAAGCAGAGGAAAGTAAATGAGGGCCATGGGGCTCAGATGATACCAGGATGAAGAAGGCAGAGTGGGGCAGGTGTTAGGCACAGTAAGGGGGCCACAGTATTGAATGTTTGAAAAGGTACTTGGAGAGCCAGGTGTAGGGCCATGCACACAGGGTGGGGGGCAAGCTGAAGCCACAGTTCATCTCCAGACACTCCTGGCTGCCTTCCCCTGCTCCTGCTCTCCCCTTCTCCGTCCCTAGGCTCATGCTTCCCTAGCTTCTGCCGCTGTGTTTCAGGGACCCAGACACGCTCACCAGGCTGGTGATGACTCTGCCCCAGGCTTGGCCCTCTGTTCCTCCCCCGTGCTACTCTCTCCTCTCCTGGGGCTACCTCATTTTTTGAGAGGTCAGGCTTACTCTAAACTGCTGAGCCTGTCTGGTCCCTACATCTCTGCCTCATAGGGTTTGTATGCCTTTGCCCCCTACACAACCAACACACACACACTTTGCTTTCCTCCCCAGATCTGGCTTGGTGCCCAGAAGACCAGGTCCCGCTGGGGAGCTGCTTTTACAGGGCATCCCCACTGGCTCCCCTGCTGCAGCCCAGCACCGGCTTCCTCGCCCTCCAGTGGGTGGGGGCAGAGCTGGGGTAGGCTCCCCACTGTCCCCCCTGCAGGCTGAGCTGCTGCCCCCTCTTTTGGAGCATCTACTGCTGCCCCCACAGCCCCCCCACTCTGCCCTGAGTTATGAGCCTGCCGTGTTGCAACCCTATCTGTTCCATCAGGTGAGCCCTAGACACTGGCCCTGCCCTTACCCTCCACCTCTGCCCTGACTTCTGCCCTTACCTGGATCTCTGGTTTCCCACAGTTTGCCTCCCGTGATGGCTCCCGGGGCCCAGAGAGCTCTCCAGGGATGGTCAGTGTCAGCCCCCTCCCCAAGGCTGGACCCCCTGCCCTCTTCAGCAGAACTGCCTCCAAGAGCACGTTTGGGGCTCACCCTGGCCACTCCTACGGGGACCCTCCAGGGCCTTCACCTGCTCAGCTTTTCCAGGAGTCAGGGCTGCTCTACCTTGCCCAGGAGCCACCAGTGCCCAGCAGGGCCAAGGCTCCAAGGCTGCCAGAGCAAGGGGGTAGCAGCCATGCAGAGGACCCCACAGAGGGCTATGAGGAGGAAGGACTAGAGGATCCCAGGGAGAAGCCTCCTTCCCCGGCAGAGCAGCCAGGTAACAGACTTCAGCATCTGCTCCATGCCTGTGGGGGCTCCTTTTGGAGCTTCTTCCTGACTGACCACGCATTTGTTACTTTGCCCTTCAAGTTCATTCCTACATTTTAACTAATGCCTTACTGACAACCTGATCTATGCCAGCCAGTAGGTAGGCAGTGGGGATACAGTGAACATAGGGATGATGTGACTCTTCTTTTGCTGGACAGTCAAAATGTCCCTGGTGGCCTGAGTTATGAGTTAGTCTTGACCCCCAAAGGTCTTCCCCCCAGAGTGTGGACGAGGGCTAGAAGAGGAGGGCATCAGGGTCCTGGTAATTGAGAAGAAGCTCTGAAAGCACTAGACTCCTCCCACCCCTCAATACATCCCATAAGTTCATCCAGCCCCCAGCCCTAAGCTCTGCGTCTGGCTCCCCCTGGCAGATGTAACCCTGCAGAGACTGGCAGCTGTGCTGGCAGGCTATGGGGTGGAGTTGCGCCAGCTGACCCCTGAGCAGCTCTCCACCCTCTCAACCCTGCTACAGCTGCTGCCCAAGGGAGCAGGACGGAATCTGGGTGAGTGTCCAGGCAAAGAGAGTAGCAGCTACTAACTCCGTGGAGGCCTCTTGCCCCACCTCTAAGACCACAGGAAGCAGCCTAGAGGGGAAGGGTCAGGATCCAGGAAGGGAGTTCTTTTGAGACAAGAGACACAGTCGTTGCCAGCAAAGAGCAGGGAGCAATAGATTGGAGTGGTGAGCTGAGGAGTAGGGTCAGCAGAGAACTGGAGGGTGGAAGCAATGGAAAAAGGCCCACAGGCTGTGAGCAGGGATCACAAGGCACCAGGGAAGGCGGCTGATGATAATGAGGACCTCAGGAAGGGTGGAGGCAATGCATAGAAGCCAGTAATTGATGGGTAGAGGAGGTCTGAACAAAGAACAGCTTTTTGAGAGGTGTGGTCAATAACAGAAGGAGGCGTTGAGAGAACAAGGAATTATAAGGCAAAAGCGAAAAGGTACAAGGCCATGCTTAGGATGAGACCAATGACAGGTGCTGGTCACTGACAGGGGAGAGAGGCTACAGCAAATGTAACAGATCCAGGGCCTCGGACCCTTTCTCCCACCTGTGTTGTGCGGACCTTAGCCTTGGCCCTTTGCCCAGAGTCTTGTTTTTCCTATCTTTACAGGAGGGGTTGTAAATATTGGAGCTGACATCAAGAAAGTAAGTTTGTGGCACCTCCCTGACCTCTAAGTGCCCCATGGCAACACATCCCCTTGCCAAAATCTAAACCTCAGGATTAGGACCCAGCATCTGCATCCTCCAACTCCTCATTCTAGGGGAACCAAGGCCCAAATGGCAAGTCATTGCCTGAGGTCTTGCTTCAAGGTGAGAGCAGAGCTGGGACTAGAAACCAGCTTTGCACTGCTTCCACTACAATCACTTCAGATCTGATGATCCTCAGTGGAGCTGCAGACTCCTTCCCCTGCCCCTGCCCCTCCCGCCCCCGCCCCCTACCTCGTAGCTTGAGCAGCTATATCTGATTCATGTTGGACCTCAAAGATTTTGTGGGCTTAACAAAAGTCTAAAAACCATGCCTGCCTGTTCATCTCCCCTAACCCTAATGTCCCTCACTTTGGAGGTTATCCCACTCCAGCCCATCTTGTGGATTGTTACTAACCATGTTCTACTCATTCAATCCTTTATTCACTCATTCACTCACTTGGCTTACCTTTCTGGGTGCCCTGTTTGTGTCCAGTGCTGCCCTGGGCCCTGGGGCTAGAAAGAATTAAGTCCTGAGCTCCTCTGCAGGGAGCTCAAGTCCAGGAGTGGGTCCCCCTCCCCCATGCTCCTCCACTGTCCAGAGACCACACCTCTATCCTCTCTTCTAAACAGACCATGGAGGAGCAGGTACAGGGTGGAGACACAGCAGAGCCTCCGTCCCCCACACTCACCCTGCCTGGATACTCCACAGCCAGCCGCACCTCCAGTAAAGCCCAGCAGGTGTTGATCTCTGGACCCTCTGAGCCCCCCGGAGCTGCTGACCCCTCTGCCACACCTGTGCTGTTGGAGAAGAAAAGTCCAGTGGGCCAGAGCCAGCCCACGGTGGTGAGGCAGCCCTCAACTTGGCCCTCTGCAGAGGAGTATGGCTACATTGTCACTGACCAGAAGTAAGGGCTGCAGCCTGGGGAAGCCTTCCAATCCCCTGAGGGTTGGGCTGGCCTGCCTGATAGAGCGCTGAGAGCAGAAATCCAGATGTGAAGTAGACAGGGCAGTGGGCTGCTCTGTACCCCTGAAGGTGGCTTGTTTCAAGAAAGTGGCCAAGGGGTTCTCCACTTTCCTTCTTCTGTCTGCTCCCCACCTCCAGGCCCCTGAGTCTGGCTGTGGGAGTGAAGCTGCTGGAGATCCTGGCTGAGCATGTGCACGTGTCCTCAGGCAGCTTTATCAACATCAGGTGGGGCTGGCATCTGGCTGGGGCAGCAGGGATCTGGAAGGTGGCCTGATGCGGGAAGTGGCTGGAGGGGCTCAAGGGAGGAAGGCAAGACAACCACTGGATAAGGGGCCAAGATGGGGTGAGAGATGCTCCCAGCTGCATTGAAGGTTCTGACATGCCTAGCCCTACCCAGTATGCCCATGTAGGGCATCTCTGATCATCTCCAGCCCCATTTCTAATGGGGAGAGGGCCAAAGCTGGCCTTTTAGAGTCTGCTGTCTATGGTGGGTGAGGCAGTGACGTAGTTCCTATTTGGCAGTGTGGTGGGACCAGCCCTCACTTTCCGCATCCGGCACAATGAACAGAACGTGTCTTTGGCTGATGTGACCCAGCAAGCTGGTAAATACTGCCTGGCCCCAACCCCAGCCCTGGTAGAATATATCAAGGCCGGTGGCTGATGCTCCCCTTAAAATATTCCCAGCCCACATGGTTCTTGCCTGCCACCTGGCATAGCAAGATACAGTGTGGAGACTACATGGGGCTGCAGAGAGTCTGACCTATGTCCTCCCTGCAGGGCTGGTGAAGTCCGAACTGGAAGCACAGACAGGGCTCCAGATCTTGCAGACAGGAGTGGGGCAGGTATGAGCTAACTGGAGAATCAGTCAAAACCCCAAAGGGCTAATATTACCCACATAGAGGCAAACGACAGGAGAACCAGAGCTTACCCTCATATACCTGGTGGGCCATTGCCTGGACCAAAGCCCCCCCATGCAATTTCCCTTCTGACCAGTAGATGGCTCCAGCGGCCCCAGCAGATGGCCTCCCTGCGGGACCCGCCTTTTATAAGGAGGCAGCAATCTTGGAAGAGTATCTGAGATGTCCACAGCCTTCTGGAGCAGTCTCTAAATTCCAAGGGAAAATCCTAAGCAGAATGGACATTAAACTCAAAATATGTTTCTATTCTTCACCCAACACTGATGCCTCACATTCTACTATTTAATTCCTTGGGTCTTTCTACAGTTTTCTACATACATTGTTAAATGCACAACCTCCTAAATGGGTCAGTCACTAAGTCTCGTACAGTACAGTGTGGTTGAGTTGGTCTGATGGGGAGTGAGAAAGAGGATCTTGGGTCTATCTGAGCCCTTCTGCCTGTACTCCATGCTCTTGCCCCCCACCCCCACCCCCAGCTTTGCCCCAGTAGGTATCCTCAGGGACTGTGCCATGGGACAGGGTGAGGAGAGCTCCTAAATCCACTCCTGCCACTGTCTCTCTTGATTCCAACTTTGTTCCCACAGAGGGAGGAGGCAGCTGCAGTCCTTCCCCGACCAGCCCGAGGCACGTCTCCCATGCGCTCGGTGCTACTCACTCTGGTGGCTGTGGCAGGTGTGGCTGGGCTGCTAGTGGCTCTTGCAGTGGCTCTGTGTGTGCGGCAGCATGTGCGGCAGCGGGACAAGGAGCGCCTGGCAGCCCTGGGACCTGAAGGAGCCCATGGGGACACTACCTTTGAGTACCAGGTGTGCAACCCCAGAAGCTTGTTGGTGGAGGTTATGGAAGGGGCTTGGGAGTCTGGGTCTCGCGTAGGGTGTGGGTGGGGAGTTGGATGGAGAGCACACACCCTTCCCTGGGAATGTCCAGGCAGGGGCTAGAGAAGCCACAGTGGGGGTGCTGTGTGGCATTTTGAATGGATGGGAATTGGGAGCAGATGGTTCTTAAAGTTCTCCCCAGTGCTTTGATTCTGGGGTTCTGGGATTCCATTCTATAATATCTGAGGTTCTCCTAGGCAATATCCCAGCAGAACAGCCCAGAGAAGGATGAGGGCCAGGGCAGGAGATCCTACCCCAGAGGAGATGGGTTGCATTCTAAATCAATCAAGGACGAGCCCAGGGATCCAGGATTGAATCCAGGACTCTGTTGAAAAGGCTTCAGGGAACCTTGGACCTCGGACCCTTTCTTCTCCTGCAGGACCTGTGCCGCCAGCACGTGGCCACAAAGTCCCTGTTCAGCCGGGCAGAGGGTCCGCCTGAGCCTTCTCGGGTGAGCAGCGTGTCCTCCCAGTTCAGCGATGCAGCCCAGGCCAGCCCCAGCTCCCACAGCAGCACCCCATCCTGGTGCGAGGAGCCCGCCCAGGCCAACATGGACATCTCCACAGGACACATGATTCTGGTCAGGACAGGGCCTGGGCCCAGAATGGATGAGGGACCAGGATGGTGGGAGAGGCAGGGCTGTCAGTGTACCCAGACCCTGCTGTGGTGCCCCTGCAGGCATACATGGAGGACCACCTACGGAACCGGGACCGCTTGGCCAAGGAGTGGCAGGCCCTGTGTGCCTACCAGGCGGAGCCCGACACTTGCACCACGGCCCAGGAAGAGGGCAACATCAAAAAGAACCGCCACCCCGACTTCCTGCCCTGTGAGTGAGTCCTGCTGGCCATCCCTGCCCAGCCCTCTCTGTGCTGGGAGCTCTGGAGGGCTTGGGGGAAAGGGCTGGGCTCCTGGCTCAGGCTGACTGACTGAGGTGCCAGGACCCCAGTGACTGGAGGGGCAATTGTGTGGGATGTGGGGTCTGTGCAGATGACCACGCTCGCATCAAGCTGAAGGTGGAGAGCAGCCCTTCACGGAGCGATTACATCAATGCCAGCCCCATTGTGAGTGGCCCTGGTTCCAGCCCCCACCTCTGCCCCATTTTTATCCCACCCCCATAAACCGTATTTCCTTATATAGTCACCTGGGCCCAGAGCAGGTGAGCAGACAGGGTGATGGGACAGGCAGGGCATCCACCCCACATGAGGATCTGGAATCATGGGGTCTGATCTCCTAACATGGGATTGGGGGGTTCTCAGGCTCCCCTAGACCCTGGCCTACTCCCTTTGATCAACCCTCTCTATAGTGGCATCTCCCATTCTGGCTCACGATGTGTCTTACCTACCCTTAGATTGAGCATGACCCTCGGATGCCAGCCTACATAGCCACACAGGGCCCGCTGTCCCACACCATCGCAGACTTCTGGCAGGTAGGATCTTAGAGGGAGAGCTTCTCTAGGGACCGGGGGCCCTTGTGGGCAGCTAGGGCCAGCCAGGTCCCAGGGAGGTTAGAATGAAGCTTACGTGGATCTCTGTCCCTAGATGGTGTGGGAGAGTGGCTGCACTGTCATCGTCATGCTGACCCCACTGGTGGAGGATGGTGTTAAGCAGTGTGACCGCTACTGGCCAGATGAGGGCTCTTCCCTCTACCACGTATATGAGGTCAGCTGGACCCCACAGCTGGGGGACAATGGGAGGAGGGAAAGTGGATGGTGGGCCATTCATACATGTATGAACATATATGTATGTAAACATATATATGGATACACACATATTTTCACATACATACATGTGTGTGTGTCCAGTCTAGGGCCATAAAGCATTTGTAAGGACCTATTATGAAAGGTGCAGAAATAAAGCTTCTCATTACCAGATGGGCACTGGATAGTAGTTTTATTATTATTATGTATTGGTCTTGCTCTTGATTGTTTGATTTGAAAAATCAAATTAAAATACTGAATTTCGTCAAAGTTCATGGTGTGTTTGTAGCACAGACACTTTGCTGAACTGTGAGGAAGAAGGAGAAATTCTGTCCTCAGGAAGCTCACAGTAGTTGTGTCTAGATGGAAAAGCTACCAGTTGTCCTAACAGTAGATAAGTGACAGACAACTAAGGTTCTTGGGGACAGATGGGACAGTGGAGCAGGAGATTCATAAACGTCCTGAAGGATTTAGAATTTGAACTGGCTTAGAAGGCTCGAGGATTTGGAGAGGCCGAGGAACATGCACGTAGATGTGGAGAGGCCCTGACGAGTTTCTCCGCAGGTAAACCTGGTATCGGAGCACATCTGGTGCGAGGACTTCCTGGTGCGGAGCTTCTACCTGAAGAACGTGCAGACCCAGGAGACTCGCACGCTCACACAGTTCCACTTCCTCAGCTGGCCGGCAGAGGGCACTCCGGCCTCCACGCGGCCCCTGCTGGACTTCCGCAGGTGAGCTCCCCGAGCCCCGCGAGGAGCAGGGGCGCGGGTCTGGGGCAGTCTGGGTAGTGGGGCAGCCTCCAGGGAGGCTCCGAGGAGCTGGGGAGGGAGCATCGCAGGAGCAAGGCTCCCCACCATCTCCAGCCCACCAGGTCCTTCTGGGGCCCCAGGTCGTGGGATGCAGACCCTCCACCAGACCTGGAGCCACTGCCTCTGGCCTCCCGTGCCCCGTCCGGACTCCAGACCAGGACAGGAGCCCTGTCTTGCTGTGCCCACCCCCCACCCCTGCAGTCCAGATGCGTTTCTGCTGTCTCCCTCTCTTGCCTCTTTTTCTCCCTGCCTCTGGAGTCTGGCTCCTTCTCCATCTCCTCCTTCCCCCAAACAGGACTCACGTTATTCCTGGCTCCATCCCTCTGTCCTTCTCTCCCTCTGCTTGACCCCTGCCTCCTGTCTCTCCTTTCTGTTGCCTCCTGTCCTGCTCGCTCAGGTCTCCAGCACATTCTGTCTGCTTGTCCCCCCATCTCCTGCCCCCTCCCACCCAGCTCCCCTTTACTCCTCTCTTTTTGCCTCTGTTTTTATTTCTCTCTGTCTTTCCTCCTCTTTCCCTCTCCCTTCCGTCTCTCTTCTCTCTCCCCCATTCCCCTCATCTCTTTATCTCTCTCCATCTCTCTCTGTCTCTCTCTCTCCCTCTCAGCACCTCTTTCCTGTTGAGCCTCTTCCCCTCTTTGTTTCTCTTCCTTCTTTTTCTCCACCTCCCTCCCACCTCTCCCTATTTATCTCTGCCTCTCTCTGTCTGTCCCTCCATCTGCCTGTCTCCCCATCCCTGTCTTTCCCCTCCCCACCACCTCTGTCTCTCTCTTTCCCTCTCACAGCTGCCAGTGTCATTTTTGTGGTCTGCAGCTAGTATTCTCACTCCAGTTGCATAGTCACAAAAGTGATCATTGGCAGGTGTGGCTGCTGCATGAACAGGACAATCAGAATATGTGGGCCCAGGGACCACTGGAAGGCTGCTGGGAGAGCTGGGGGCTGGGGGAACCGAGGGTGAAGGCAAATGCTATCAAAGGAGGTATGGGGGGGATCTCTGGAGTCTGGGGACTCAGTGGAAGTGGGCAAAGGAGGTATAGGGGGATCTCTGGAGTCTGGGGACTCAGTGGAAGTGGGTGGGGGCTGGAACAGGAAGCTGACTGAGGGACTTACCTGAAACCACAGCCAGGCCCAAGCCTCCAGCAGCCCCTGGCCTTTCCTCTCCCCAGACAAGTGAAGCCTGCCACCACTGGCAGGAGCCTCACCCACACTGCAGCCCCCTCCTGCTTCCTGGCCCTTGCCAGGCTGGCTGAGGTCTCCAGGTGCTGGGCAGGGAGCAGAGGAGAGAGCCAGGGTGGGAATCTGGGGACAGTTTCTGAGCCTCTGGACAATGGTTTCTACCTGGGGTCCCTGGGGCCCAAGGCACAGGCTTCTCAAAAGCGATGCCACGGGTATCAGAGCTATGTCTTGTTTCCCACATTTTAAAAATCCTTAGAGAAGTGCATATATAGTGCATGGACCTGTCTTAAGGCTGCACAGGTAAGCCAGAAAGGTTCTGTTCCTTTGCTATAGGCTGGAATTATGTACACTCAGTTGGCATTAGACACCCAGAACAAATTAATTGCAGTATATAATAATTATTATTAATTAATAAATATAGCTTGGTGAAAGCCCACCAGAGGGAAGGCAAAATAATTTTTTTAAGTCCCCGGAAGTGACCCCAAGCAAGTTCCTTGGCCTTCCTCTGTTTCCTTACCTGTGGAATGAGGATGATGACCCATTTTTCAGAGGGTTGTTACAAGAGTCAATGGGATAAAGTCTGTAAAATTTAGTTCAAGTACCTAGCACATAGCAAGGGCTTAATTAATTCTAGATACTATTTATTGTCATTAGCGTTAAACAATTGAGAACCACTGTTGTAACCTCTGTTCAACCCCAGCCCTCTGGACAATGTTCTAGAAAACCATGTGGACTCCTATAAAACCACTCTAAGTCACCTGGCCCATGCAAGTGTGGGGAATCTGGGAGAATCACCAAGTTCCAAGTTCCCCCTGAAACAATCCAACAACCCCTAAGAAGGTCCTCCCTAGTTCTGGCCCACTGGGGGTATCAAGATTCTTCAGGAGACCCTCAAAGCCAGAAAGTCATAAGGGACAAGGGCAGGTTAGACTGGGTCTAGTGAAGGAGGGAGAACCCCCCTGCTCATTGTTGAACTGTGGTCAGAGCAGCAGAGAAAAATCTGAGGTCCAAGTGGACCCCAAGTCTGAATATGACCCAACCACAGAGCTGAGGGGTTGTCCTTCCCTAGCCAGAGGAACTCTGTGTTCCAAGGCTACCTGATCTCACTGCTGAGGAGGATCACAAGGAGCCTGAGTGGGGAAAGGAACAGCCTGGGCAGCTGTAGAGGAGGATTGAGGGGCAGAGCAGGAATGTGGCAAGAATGATATCCTGGAAGTCACCAGAAAGCCTATCCAACCTATACCTCTGGTAGAGGTGGCTATTAATATTATTGTGTTTTATTATTAACAGTACTACCATTTATCGAGCACTTACCGTGTGCCAGATGCTGCACTTAGTTCTTTACATGGCTTATCTCACTTAATCATGTTAAGAACCTTAAGAAGATTACTATTATTAGCACCCCCATTTTCAAGGTAAGAAAACTGAGGCTCAAAGAGGTCAAGTCAGTTGTTCCAGGGGCACAGCTTGGACTCATAGCTCATAGGTGACAAGACACGCCCAGTGCCATCCAGAACCACCTCTGGTTCTTTGCCTCCAGCCCTGACTCTCCATCCCGCCCTCTTCCCTCCTCTGTCTTGGGCATGGGGGAGAAAAGGAAGAGAGGCCCACAAATGTTCCTTTTCCCTCTGTGGGAGGCCCCTGGCCCTCACACCCATTTCTGGTTGCAGGAAGGTGAACAAGTGCTACCGTGGCCGCTCCTGCCCCATCATCGTCCACTGCAGGTGTGGGAAGGGGCAGTGGGAGGGAGCGGGGATGGCAGGGGGCCTGCTTCCCAGGCTACAGGGCCCTGTGGTGTGGTGCTCCTGATTACCCCCCTCTCTGGTTCTCCTCCTTGTGGACACCTCCCGTGCACGTGTCTGCCTGGCCCCTCAGGGCCAGCAAAGCACAGCCATTGAGCCAAGTTCAGCATACCATCTGTGTTTTCTTAATAACCCATGAGCTAAGAATAGTGTTCACATTTTTAAATGGCCAAAGGAAAAAAAAAAAAAGAATGTGCAACAGATTAGATATGGCCCACAAAGTTGAAAATATTTATCATTATCATTCACACACAAACTTTGCTGAACAAAAGCCTGGCTGGCCAGAAAGTCCAAAGGGCCATCGCCATGTCCTCTGGCTGCCTCCTGCTTTGGGCTGAGCCAGGGCTCTCCTTTTCTTTTGGCTCACTGCCCAAATGACACCCATGGATCACAGGCTCCCCACTCAAGCCCAGGTCCCAGGGTTCAGGTGCTGTGATCAATCCCTCAACCTTGGTTCACTCATACCCTCCTCAAGCTAATCCTAACGGCTCCACCAGTGTCCTCCCTACCCCCAACCTCCATGTCCCTACCCCCTTCCCGCTGGGTCCTGAGCTGAGCCTGTCACCATCTCCTGTTTCAGCGATGGTGCAGGGAGGACTGGTACCTACATCCTCATCGACATGGTACTGAACCGCATGGCGAAAGGTGAGGGCCTTCCCCACGGTGCCCACAGCCCAGCCCCTGGGCCACAGGACTTCATGGAGGGCCAGGCTGTCACCCATTCTTTGCCCAATCCTCAAGTCTCCCACCCCAGGATGCCCCAGGCTTTCTGGATCTCCTCTGGACACCCCCTGAGCAGCCCTGTGCCCCACCCCCCTCCAGGAGTAAAGGAAATTGACATCGCTGCCACCCTGGAGCATGTCCGTGACCAGCGGCCTGGCCTTGTCCGCTCTAAGGTGACTGTCCCTTCCTGCCCCAACCCTAGCTGTCACCCTTCCTCAAGGAAACCAGCAGCAGCCTGCTTGTATGCCTCCTCCAGGAGGACTCCCCCTCTCCCAAGTGACCTCCCCAACTCCCACTCCCAAAAGCCCCCTGAGACAGGAGCAGAGGCCAAGCCTCCCTGTGACTCTCCTTCCTCCCACTGCCCTTCCCCAGGACCAGTTTGAATTTGCCCTGACAGCTGTGGCAGAGGAGGTGAATGCCATCCTCAAGGCCCTGCCCCAGTGAGACCCCTGGGACCCCTCCACGGGCAGCCCAGCCTCTGCTCCTTCTTCGCCTCTGTGATCATCTATCTGTGTACCCACTCCTCACTAACCCCTCTTGCTTCTGCCACCTGGGCCCCTCTTGGGCATGTCCAGTCCTTCCAAGAGGACTGTGTAAGGAAGGGGAAGTGGGAAGGGCCAACCTGCCCAGCCTCTCTCATGCCAGAGCCCAGGGCATCCCTGGGGCATCCCATGAGGGAGCTGACGGACATCCAGAAAGAGAGGCAAGTCATGGGCAGCAAGTCCACCCAGGGCCCTCTCCTGCCTGAGTTCCCAGCCCCATCTTCCACCCTTCTGGCTCCCAACAAGTCTATGTGGATGCCCTCCACCCTTCAATGTGGACATACCAGGGTGGTATGCTCCTCATGCTTTGCCAGCCCCTGCTGCCTGCTGTCCTGCCTCTGTGGCCCATACTCTGGCTCCCCACCCCCACCCCAGGCCTCTTCCCCCAGCCCTCCCGCCACATGCCACTCAGATCTCTCCCTCTACCAGAAGAGAACATTTCTAGAAAAGTTTACTTTTGTATGAATGTTAATAAAGTTAGTGTGTCGTGTGTGCAGCTGCAACCTGGACTCCTACACATTTCGGTCTGCTCTGCTTCCAGACTCCAGCGCCAGCCTTAGTCTGGAGCCAGGGCTGCTGTTTCTCAGGAGATACAAAGAATGTGATGGGGGGCCAGGCTGTTGAGGCAGGCTCTCCCAGGTTTGAACAGTCGCTAGAAACAAGGCAGTAGTTTCTCTAAGCTGTGCTTTCTGTGGCTGGCAGTCTCCAAGGTGCAGATATACACTAACTTATTTTATCTTCACAACAACACTAACACATTTTTAGCCCCATTTTAGAGAAGAGGCACAGAAATTGCCTAAGGCAACACGGCTTGGAAGTGGTGGAGTTAGGATTCGAAGTTAGGACATTCAGTCTCTTTATCGCCTCTCCCTCTCAGCTCTTGGGCAGAGCTTCATGTTCTTCAGCTTCAGGAATAATGTATGATGAAAGACGGAGGTTAGGACAGAATGAGGCAAAGTTCCTGCCACACCTTAAGCAAAATAGCTGAACTGTGATAACAGCCTTAGACTGGGCCTGTGCCATGTCACCATAGGTACCCATCGGGGGACGTGGGGCTCTTTCTCCCTTTCTCCACCCCACCTCCAGCCCCCAGAACCCTCCACCCTGTATGGTCCCAGAGGAGCCCTCATCTGCGTGTCAAGAGGTGTCTTTGGACAAAGGTGTATGTAGAAATGAAGTAAAAAGAGCCTTGGGCCTTTGGGAGTTAGAGCCTATTAACTTTGCCAAGACTCAGTTCCCTCACATGCAAAACAGGACATGTACCATCTGCCCTGCACAGGGGGCAAAGGAACCAGTGAGCCAACCACAGGCACCCCCCTACACCTCGCCTGTGCTCTGCTGAGGCTCCCCTCTAGTATGTTTGACTTTCAAAAGCTGGAAGTGGGCAAAATATCATTTCACAAACCTCTCTCCCCACAAGATAGAGGCTTGAGATTCCTCCTCACCGCAGGCTGCTGCCTTGCTTTGGGAAAAATACAATCTAGGTCCTTTGGCCATTGAAGATGAAGCTGGAATGGAAGAGAGAGCTGGTGGGGAGCTAAACTGCCCTGCTTGACAATGGAAAGAGGCTTGTCCCATGGCGGGAAGGGTATTTCTGCAGGTGTCTGGAGAGAAGGGGGAGAAGTACCTAGCTTTTTCCTCACTGGGCCTGATGAATTTGGGGCCTGGGTAGGGCGGATTTGTGCCACTCCATGGAAGAGGCAGGCCTCTGAGACTGGCCATTGGCCTTGAACTATGGAAACGTGTGGATGGGCTCAGGCTATGGCCTTGGGAGTATGTTTTTACAGGTTTTCACTATGTGCCCCCATTCTTTCAGTCAAGTTGTAACTTAGTCTGGTCCTAGATTTGCTGTGGAGTATTAGGTGGTGAGTCTTGCATAAGGGGAATGGCTGCTGCCTGGGGAAACCCCAATACCCCCAGTTGTGGGGACCCAAGAGTGAGGGCCAAAGAAACTGAGCCTTTCTTGAAATTCTACTACATACTTGGGGAGGGTGGCCTGGTCAGAAAGGGGACTTCTGCTGTCAGCTGGGAAGGCTTGCCACCTCTAAATAGGCAATAAAAGAAAATGTGTCACCCACTGGTCCCACAGGGTGCCTCCAGGGCCACCTGGAAAGGAAGAACACAGGGACACAGTACACCACCAAGCTCTCCAAACAGCTTTATTTCCAGTGTTCCCCTCAGTCTGAGCTTGGCCCAGCTGGCTTTAACAGGACTCAAGGACTCAATGTTACAGGAGCTGGCAACCCCTGGCTCCACCACTCCCCTCCCTAGCCACTAGGCTCCCCAGACAGGGAGGAGGAGAGGCAGCTCATCTGTGGTGTTGGAGAAAAAGAATGGGCAGCAGGGTCAGAGGCCAGAGAAGCCATACAAGCAGCAACATTCCCAGGGCAGCCATCACAAGCCAATCCCAGCCACACACACACATACACATACCCCAAAGGACGCTTTCCCTTCCAAGTTCTCTGCTGGCCCACGCCCACCAGCCTTCTGGGGCCATGCCCTGCTTAGTCAATCCTGCCCAGGCCTAGGACTCCACAGGAAAAGAGTCTTTCCCAGATGCTACAGGGCTTCAACTTGTACACTCTAACCCTGATGCTAACAAGAGGTGTCAGGGTAGCCTAAGCTTGGACCATTACCCCTTCATCCATGTTCTTGCCACCCCTGCCAGGGACAATTCAAATGACAAGGTATCCCCATCAAGCAGTGAGTGACAGGCTGGTCTGGAACTACGTGTCCCAAGATGCAAAGCTCCATAACTATGCACCGCTTCTCCCAAGCATGATCTACTAGAAACGAGACGGGTGCATTGCATTCTGGGACTTGTAGTCCCCAAGAGACAGCACCAAACACCCAGGGAAGAGTTTACAGGCTAAGACTACTGATGCCTCCCACCCACCACCCAGGCCTTGCTCTACACTCAGCACAGGTGAGGGAGAGGAATGGAGGGTCCCCTCCCAGTGCACAGGGGAAGGCGCTGTCCTGTTGGAGCTGTGCAGCGACTCTGGATCCAGGACATCCAGCTCAGAACACATCTGGGGAGAGAGCGGGGATGGGGTGACAGGAGAGAGGGTCAGCAGCAAGCCTGGAGGATGGAGCCGAGCATGCAGACCTGGGCTAGCCCTGTGGCCTCTCCCTGGGCCTTGATGCATGTAAAGTAGGGCAGGGTACAAGCCTCCCTCCTGGGCACCCTGGCCTTATCCCACCTCTGCAGAGTTAGCCAGCCTCACTTCTGCCTAGTCCCGAGGCCTGGGGCAGGCTGAGGCAGCAAGAGGAAGGGAGGAGGAGTGGGCTCTGGTTCCAAATCTGGAGGGCTGAGAGTCTCCCGCCCCACCCAGCTAGCCTCCCTGGAAGACCTTATGGCCCTACCGGCCACAGCATCTTTCTTGCCATATTGAGGCCTTCTCTGGGAAGGAAGAAGGGAGTCCTAGCCCGATGTCAGTAAAAGCAAGCGATGCAGCCCGCAGGGAAGTGCAGCCAGGAAGGAGAAGCAGCACCAGAAGGGAAGCAACAGAGACAGTCAGAACTCAACACAGCACAGAAACAAGGGAGGGGGTGTCTGCAGCTGGACAAGGAGAGCAGGTGGCTCCCTGGTGTAGCTCCCGACTCCAGGTCAGAGAACCCAGGCCAAGTCCTCCTTCCTTGACATCATCAGTAACACAGGTGGCATAAGACCTGGGCACAAAAGGCCCGACCTGAACCACTGACTTCTTCAGAAGCTCCCGTTCTCATAAGAATAAGTGCATCCTGGCTCCTCGGGCCCTCCAACTGCCCTGAGGTCCCCCACCCTGGGTTTCACCCATCAGCCATGGGCTGAACAGAGCATATCCCCAGTCCACACTGGAGTGTGGTTGGGCCTGGGAGGGAAACCTGCGAAGGGAGCATGAGTTGGAGAAGGGTTCCTGCCACTCAGGTCATGCCCCTCCCTGCTCTCCGGCACTAAGCAGGACCCTTGGTCACCCTGAATAAGGGTGGGTTGGGCCTGGTGATCAGAGGATGAGGCAGCGGAAGGCCTTCTCCTCTGGGGAGGGGCTGGCTTTGGCTGCATCACCCTTGGCATCCTCACGGGCACCCCTGATACCCGGATCTTGGTACTGGGCCTTGGGCTGTCCCTGTCGTCGTCGCTGTGTGGCCCGCCCACCTGCTGGTTTTTTCCCAGCTGCCTCCATCTCTGACAGGCTGTAGGCCATGGCAAGCTGCAGGTCTTCATCATCCTCAGAGAGGTCGCTGTCAGAGGGGTGTAAGGCAGGGGTCTGCTGGACCTGTGTGCCCCCAGACCTGGAGGTGACAGACTGTTGCTGCTCACGACGGCTCAGCTCCAAGCCCAGGGCCAGGTCGTCTGGGACACCTGTAGGACAGTCACTGTGAGGCTCTCTGACCCAGGCCAGAGGAATCCTGCCAGACTGCCTCATGCAGTGATGACTCTGACCACCTACAGCCCCCGTTTGGAATGGGCAAGCATGCATTTTGGCACCCAGCATAGTGGTTTAAGCATGGGCAGGTGTTCAGCTCCAGAAGATATGATCTGTCTCATTGGATAAGTTACTCAATCTCCTTAAGCCTCCCTTTTCTTGTCTATAAAATGGGAACGATGAGAGTGCCTACATTTAAGATTGCTCCAAAGATTAAATAAGACAGCCCATAAGAAGGCATGAAAGAGTAGCCATAGAGACCATCCCCTCCGTAGGGTTGTGAGACGACTTTGGCTCTAGCAGTTTCATTCCTGGCTTTACCCCTTACTAAGTAGGACAAAAGCTTGGGTCTACGGCTACTTGGGAGTTAGGGTCATTTAATTGTGCTGAGGCTCAGTCTTCTCAAAGGGAATTAGGGCAAATAACAGCTGTCCTGCTTTCCCCCTGGCTGCTTTAATAATATGGGGAATATGGTATGTGCCCAAGTGCTTTACAAGTAGTAAGGTGCTCTGCAAATACCAAGCACCCCACTGATGGTGGTGATTAACTGGCCCTCTGAGACTCCTCAGTTCCCTGTCTCAGCCTCCTTCCCTGGCATCCCATCATGGATCCTGACAATCTGGCCTGTAGCCACCATTCCCTCCCTGCCCCCAAGGGATTTCAGAGAGCATCTGGGGAGGAGGCTTTGGGGTCTGGGGCTGGGGCTGTCCTGCCAGGGACTGCATGGCAGAGCTGCTCCTCACCATTGATTGTGACTGACTTCAGTTGTCCATCCTCCTCCACTTCCACCCGTTCTTGCCCATTCTCCATGATTCTGTGGGAGACAGCACAGTTCATTCAGCAACCACGCCTGAATCGTGCAGGCGCCTGTCCAAGATCTGGAATGCTGCAGTGACCAGGACAGATGGGGCTCTGCCCTCAAGGAGCAAACGTTCCAGTTGTATGCAGCTCCCACTCCGGCCCTCACCCCACACTCCTACACTGGTATGGTCCCTGGGGAGCCCTCACCTGCGTGTCGTGATGCGGCGTCCATGGACAAAGGTGGTAGATGTAGAAACAGAGCGAAAAGCACCAGCCCCAGGACTGA